ATTTTTTTAGCTAGCCTTTTGCTACTTTTAGGTAGTATTTTGCTACTTTAGTTATAATTTAACTATTTTAGCTTGTAGTCATTTTCTGCTTCTTTTAGCTTTAACAATTTAATTTTAGCGTATTTCACAAATTACAGCAGTGATTCTGCAGTTACAGCGTTGAAAATGTTATTTTTCTTGTCACTTGCGTATTTTTATAAAATGGTTTTGCTGCTTTTAATATTTTAAAGCACGGGTGTCCAAAATGCGGCCCGAGGGCCATTTGCGGCCCTTGCAGTGATTCTGTGCGACCCACAGCTGCAGTTTAGGAATCGTATCATTTTGTCCAGCAGGCTTAAGAGATCACTGCAGATTTTCTGCAAATTAGTTGTTAATTCTTTTTTTATACGATGTTTAGGTTCAACAGCAAAATGAATTAAAAACAATCTTATCAAAATGAGCAATATTAAGCAAAATACAAACCTTTTGGCTATAATATTTTAATTTTCACTTCATGGTACAAAGCACCAAAAACCTTTACTGATTTCTACCAGAAGACTTTTAGATAATGATTCATAAAACTTGGCTAAATATTGCCATTGATAAAATAACCAAAAGAGAAATTGGACATTTTAAAAAGAATATAACATGGTATCATCTACATACGAGTTGATCAACTTTATCAAACCTTCTTTGAATCTGTTGAAGTGACTGACAGCTGGACAATTTTTCAGAACTTAGATCAACCATTTGGGTCGTACACGGCCCAAAAGGCTGATCGACCCCCTTTTAAAAGAACCATTACTCATATTAAGCTTTTGTTGTTAAGAACAGACTAAAATGAATTTTCCAAACATAAGAAAACAACAAACATAAACCCAACAAATCAAATAAATTAAATCCTTTTTAATAAAAAAAATATAAGCTTATTATTTCTGAGGCTTTTAATGTTTTGGATCTACAACAATTTAAAACTCTTTCTCCACCAAAATTAGTAAATTTGTCCTTTCTCCAACATATTGTTCACGCTGAGCTTTAAATTCACATTTTGTGGCCCACGAGTCCTTTCATGTTGATGGTTTGGGCCCAGACATGACAGCGTTTGGACACCCCTGTTTTAAAGCATTTACCTTAAAACTTTCTGTTACCGTTTTATTCGGTATAAGCTCGTTGCTGAACAACAAATCAGAAGCAGAAAAAAGTGGTATATTCTCCTTTTGACAGCAATAAGACACTTTGTTGTTGGCTTTAAACAATCATTTGATGACGTCATAGTTTGAAATGTATTTGTACAGATTGAAAGACCAGAAAAATTGTTTGTAAAATGTTTTTAATTAGTGAAGATTGTGTGCTGAGGCAGGCTTTTAAGTACCGAGTTTAAAATATAAATATATTTTGTACGTTTTTACTGAAACCTCCTCCACCCCTCAACTCTGCACATAATTGAGTCGTTCATTATAAAAGCTCTTCAAGCTCAAATGAACTTTTTGGATTCAATGGAACGTTTTGTCTTTATTGTTTCACCTTTGATTCAGCCAGAGGTTATACAGCCGTGTCATCTGCAAACCTTTGATGAACTCAGGAGCTTAACATGGATTCTGGAGAGTGGCGACATAAAACTGAATGATAATTGCATCATGCGCTCTAATGGCAGCCATTACAACAATAGTGATGATGACCTGGAGGTACGGGAGGGGCAGGAGGAAAGGTCCTCTGCACTGACCTCCGCTCAGGAAAGGGCAAGCTCAGGCAACAGTCAGTGTGTCAGGGGCTCGCCACGTCGTCTGCTGTTCTGTACCCCCCACCCCACCCCCCATTCAAAGTCTAACACAACAGCCGAGCATCGCTGTGACCCTGTGGGTGTGACACTCAACCTTTGCCTTAACCTTCTGACCGCCGGTCACAGCTGCAGCTGAGCGGCTCGGGAAGGTCAGGGTGCAGGGTCGACCTGAGGGGTGACTGATGGCAGAGAGATGAGGATGGAATGGACGGAGGGGGAGGGAATGTAGAGTAAAGATGCATTGATGAGTGGAAAAGAGCAAAGGATGGAGGGATGAAGGGAAGTTGTTTTTCTTTTGGCTGCTTCCTTCTTCAGCGGTCGCCCAACGCTCTTCCTAACAAAACCTGGACTTGGACCTACAACCTCAGGATTAAGAGACCATGGCACTGACCACCGAGCTACCGTAACCCCCAGAGGGGTGAAGAAAAGATCATTTAATTTGACTGGTTTTATTATTTAGACATTTTTGTACTCTTTTATTGTGATCAAAGCATTTTTATTATTCCTTTTTTAATTATTCTAGATTATATGGGATAATTTAGGTTTTCCTGCCTCCAGATTACTGCAGTGCTTCCAAAACCAACGTTTTCTGCACCACCAAGTCTGTTTTTGCTGAAATGTTTCACTTTTGAAAACAGGCTACATATATAAATATCCACTTGTTAAAGGCGCTGAGCTTTTGTTTTTCAGTTTAAGTAAATGTGAGTTCTCTCTCCTACTATCTGCAGTGAGATTTTTTTTTTTTTTTTTTTTGTAATTTAGCAGAGTTGACCTTTTAACTGAACTGTCAAGCGTGAAAGGCAAAGAACGTGAGACCACGGAGGTGCAAAGAAGACAAATGGGCTTGCTGTACATTTTATGTGCAGATCAGCCTTTGTCTCTGCCCCCCAGCCCCTCGCCCTTTCTCTGAGCTTTGGCCCGACACCACGGTTGGCCCGGTAGTTACAGCTTTTTTAATGGAAAATGAACATGTGCACTCTCATCCAGCTCACACCTTCAGTGGGTCCAGTCTTTGTGTCATCCGTAGAAATTCACAACGGCGTGATAAATGCTTGACGTTAGAGAAGTTATAATTTGGAGTTGTATCCAGGATATTTTAAGAACTGTCACAAAGTCTGAAAACTGTCAAAAATATAATAGTGTGAATGTTTATGAAGCACTCACACTATTGTGATCCATTTTTCTTCTGTACATTTTTCGGTGCATTTTTTGTCCCACAGTTTTCAAACTATTTCAACAAGTCGTACATCAAAACATTCAGCTCTTTCAGCACAATCCTGCTATGACTTTTGGTAGTGATGCAACTTTAGCTGTTTTAAATATTTACCCTTTTTTCCCCCCCTCATGAATTGAGCTCATTTAACATCCTTCATATCTTTAGCTCTGTTACTGCTCTTTTCACATTTTGTTCTGGTTCAGCTTCTTTTAGCTTCCTTGTGCAAATTTAAACTTTCTTCAGCTACTTTCAGCTGTTTTGTGCTTTGTCTTTTCAGATTATTTCTGCTAACTACAACATTTTTGTGCTTCTTCTAACTTATTTCTTGCTTCTTTCAGCTTCTTTCTGCTAGTTTCAGTTTTTCTCCTATTTCAGCTACTGTTCAGCTGTTTTATGCTAATGTTAGCTTTTTCAGCTAATTCCACATTTTTTGCACTCATTTCAACTTTCTTTACCCCAATTCAGCAAAAACGTGCTCTCTTCACTTCCTTCTGTCAATTTAAACTTATTTCTGATTTTTTTTAGCTGCTTTTCAGCTGTTTATTTTATTTGAGTAATTTCAGATTTTTTCAGATAATTTCCTCTTTTGTGTGCTAATTTATTCTTCTTTCAGCCTAATTAGGCAAACATGCATTTTTCTGCTTTCTTCTGCCAATTTAAACTTGTTCTACCTTTTCAGTTACTTTTATTTGGCACTTTTTTTAAGTTAATTTCAGCTGTTTTCAGATAAATTCAAGTTTTTCGTGGTAAATTTTGGTACTTTCAACCTAATTAACTTCTTTAAGGTAATTTCAGCTTGTTGTGCTCATTTCAGCTGTTTTCTGCTATTTCATCAACTACTTAGCTGTTTTAATGATAATTTTAGCCTTTTTGTCTAATTCCACGTTTTTAAAACTCATTTCAGTTCTTTCTGCTTCATTCTGGTAGTTTAAGATCCTTTCTACCTTTCCAGCTATTTTTTTTTCTAATTTCAGGGTTTTTTTAGCTAATTTCCAACTTTTGTGCTCATTTCTGCTATTTTTTACCTCATTCAGCAAAATTGTGTTCTTTCTGCTTTCTTCGGCTTGTTCTGTCATTTCAGCTACAATTCAGCATGCTTTTTTAGCTAAGTGCAGCTGTTTTTCAGCAAGTTCTTCAGCAATAAGCACTCACACTGCATTAAATGCAAAAAGTATTTGCATCATTGAACTTTCCTACATTTTGTCACATTTACAACCACAAACTTCAGTGTTTTACTGAGATTTTACTTCTTTGTTAAATTGCTCAAGTGCTGTCAGATTAGATGAAAAGTGTTTGTGAGCAACAACTTTCAAGTTTTGCCACAGATTCTCAGTTAGACTCAAGTCTGGACTTTGACCGGTCCATTCAAACACATTAATATGTTTTGATCGGGCCCATTCCATTCCAGCTCCGGCTGGATGTTTCAGGTCGTAGTCCGGCTGAAAGGTGAACCTCTGCCTGAGTCCCACGACTTTTACACCCTCTAACAGTTTTTAATCCAGGATTTCTCTGTATTTATCTCCGTCCATCCTCCCATCAGCTCTGACCAACTTCCTTGTCCCCACAGCATGATGCTGCCACCTCCACGTTTCATGATGACGATGGTCAACAGCTGCATTCGAACTGGGATTAAATTACACACTGGTGGACTCCGTTTGACTAATTAATGTAGGTGACTTCTAATGGCAACTGGATTTTAGTTCTGGTGGATCAAAGTAAAGTGAACTGAATGCAAATGCACACTTTTTACATTTTTATTTGTCAAACATTTTGAAAACTGAATCATTTACTATACTTTATGCTGGTTTAACATATAAAATACTTTGAAGTTTGACGTAACGTGACAAAATGTGTGAAAATTCAAGAGCTATGAATACGTTTAGAAGGCTCTGTGTGTACAATTGATGTAAGAAAAACTGCTGCAGGTTTTTCATTACGCATCATATTTTTATCAGAATTGCGCATGCTGCCAATGTGAACAACTTTTGGCTTCAAGGGCAGATGATTCTTGAGCTGAACAGTCTTTTATAAAACAGTCTCTTCTCTCTTCCACTCCGCAGCTTCTTCTGCATCTTTAGTTGCTTCACTCTGGTTGTGCCTCTCCATCATGGCTGCCACCTTCTGCTCCAGCCTCCACACCTGCTCACGATACTTCCTGCGAATCTGTCGGTACGAGCTCAAGGCTTTGCTGGAAGGAGGGACACCACATCTGGTTTAGTGCATTTAAAACAGCCAGAGCAGCGACTCTTTATGGTTTTTACCTGTGAGCTTGTGTGAGGCGAGCAATCTGCTCTGCGTTGTCCTTCCTGTTGGGGGCGCCGTCTGTCAGAGCTGTGGTCAGAGAGTCATGGATCATCCCCAGCCTCTTCTTCAGTGCCTGTTCCCTGGGAACAAACAATAATAGTCAAAGCATTTTGCTTCAGTCACTTAACATGTTTACTCCCTGTATTACAAAAGTTATGAATAAAAAACTTGTTTTTCACATAATTTTGTCCCTGCTTTACTTTACAATGAGGGTGAATTAAAAAAGTATTCATTACTCAAGGTTAGAGGAGAAAGATGAAGCTTTGAAGGACCGCACAAAGAAAAATGACGTGTTCTTTACGTCCATGTCTGCTTTTCTTTCTGCAGCTGTTACTAAGCAACAGAACAAAACCATAAAGAAAACTAAAATTGGATACATCATCTTTTATTCTGAAAAAAAAAAGGGTGCTTAATAGAAAATGACTAGTTGTAAACGTTGGTTTTATCAATGTTTTAATGTTTTGTTAAAGTTCTTGTTTTTAGTCCTAGGTTGTAAATGATTATGTTATTTTTAAATGTGCTATAGAAATAAATGATGACCTGAATTGACTTGGGGTGATAATTGACCACATTTTCTCTTCATTTAAAATTTTTCCAAGGATAAATATATATTATAGTAACAACTCTCTACCTTATAGCTCCTTTTTGTGCCGTATACAGTTTAAAATGAAAGGTTTAGCATTCCTTAAAGCACATATGTCAAACTCAAGGACCGAGGGCCAAATGTGGCCCTCGTTGACATCTTATCTGGCCCCCAAGATGATATGTGAAACATAAAATACTTCTATCTCTTGAATTTTTTCAGTAATCTTTGATTATGATGTTGAAAGTGCAACAGACAAACGTCAAATGAGACCAATCAAACTCTTTTTGAGGAACATGCCACCAAGAACAGATGTTTGGTTTCTAACTTGAGTTAATATAAATTCTGAAACTGGCCCTTGGTTTGAAAAAGGTTTAATTTTGGCCCCCTTTTGTAAGTGAGTTTGACACCCCTGCCTTAAAGGTATTCGTATTGTCCAAGGCCTTCCATGACAGATTGAAATACTGAGTGGACTGGACGGTGTTACAGCTGTTTTGGTCCAGCCTTGTAGATGCAGTCATGCATATATTGCGAAATGTGAGCTCTCAAAGTTGAAGATGACTCTATTTACTATCACATCAAACATTAGTTCAATATCAGTAAAAATTGACAGAGTTGTAGCCTTTTTGTGTTGCTTGTAAACTCTCACCTCTGTAGAACTGCCTGTAGGTCTTTGAAAATGGATCTGGTTAGAGGACTGAGTTCTCCGTCGCAGCCAACTTTGGCAGCATTCTCACAAAATCTCTGAAATGTAGTGGACAAGAAAGAAAAAGCAAGTTCAATTAGATTGTTTACTTACAGTGGGGAGAACAAGTATTTGATACACTGTTGATTTTTCAGGTTTTCCCACTTGCAAAGCTTGTAGATGACTGTAATTTTTATCATAGGTACTCTTCAACTGTGAGTGATGGAATCTAAAACAAAAATCCAGAAAAATACAATGTATGATTTCTAAATAATTAATTTCCATTTTATTGTGTGAAATAAGTATTTGATCATCTATCAACCAGTAAGAATTTTGGCTCTCACAGACATGTTAGTTCTTCTTTAAGAAGCCCTCCTGTTCTCCACCCATTACCTGTATTAACTGCACCTGTTTAGGCTCGTGACCTGTATAAAAGACACCTGTCCACACACTCAATCAATCAGACTCCAGCATCTCCACAATGCCCAAGACCAGAGAGCTGTGTAAGGACATCAGGGATAAAATTGTAGACCTGCACAAGGCTGGGATGGGCTACAGGACAATAGGCAAGCAGCTTGGTGAGAAGGCAACAACAGTTGGTGCAATTATTAGAAAATGGAAGAAATACAAAATAACGGAAAATCTCCCTCGGTCTGGGGCGCCATGCAAGATCTCACCTCGTGGAGCATCATTGATCTTGAGGAAGGTGAGGAATGAGCCCAGAACTACACGGCAGGACCTGGTCAATGAGCTGAATAGAGCTGGGACCACAGTCTCAAAGAAAACAATCAGTAACACTCTACGCCGTCAAGGATTAAAATCCTGCAGTGCACGCAAGGTGCCCTTCCTCAAGCCAACGCATGTCAAAGCCCGTCTGAAGTTTGCAAATGACCATCTGAATGATCCAGAGGAGGAATGGGAGAAGGTCATGTGGTCTGATGAGACAAAAATAGAACTTTTTGGTTTAAACTCCACTCGTCATGTTTGGAGGAAGAAGAATGATGAGTACAACCCCAAGAACACCATCCCAACCGTGAAGCATGGCAGTGGAAACATCATTCTTTGGGGATGCTTTTCTGCAAAGGGGAAAGGACGACTGCACCATATTGTGGGAAGGATGGATGGGCCATGTATCGTGAGATTTTGGCCAACAACCTCCTTCCCTCAGTAAGAGCACTGAAGATGGGTCGTGGCTGGGTCTTCCAGCATAACGACCCAAAACACACAGCCAGGGCAACTAAAGAGTGGCTCCGTAGGAAACATCTTAAGGTCCTGGAGTGGCCTAGCCAGTCTCCAGACCTGAATCCCATAGAAAATCTTTGGAGGGAGCTTAAAGTCCGTGTGGCCCAGCGACAGCCCCGAAACCTGAAGGCTCTGGAGGAGATCTGTATGGAGGAGTGGGCCAAAATCCCTGCTGCAGTGTGTGCAAACCTGGTCAAGAACTACAGGAAACGTCTGATCTCTGTAATTGCAAACAAAGGTTTCTGTACCAAATATTAAGTTTCATTTTTCTGGTGTATCAAATACTTATTTCACACAATAAAATGGAAATTAATTATTTAAAAATCATACATTGTATTTTTCTGGATTTTTGTTTTAGATTCCATCACTCACAGTTGAAGAGTACCTATGATAAAAATTACAGTCATCTACAAGCTTTGCAAGTGGGAAAACCTGAAAAATCAACAGTGTATCAAATACTTGTTCTCTCCACTGTATCTCATTTGTAGTTTAAAGTTGCATTGCTTTATGCTTTCCAGATGCAGTCTGCTGTGATGTGACAGAAGACACTGTGGGTTTTTCAAAATGTTGCATCATTGCTGCTGAATGAGCCTGTTTGAGATTTAGGTTGAAACAAAGTTTTAAAATGCTCTATCTCTACTTGTAGCTGTCTGGTTTACAAAAACAAGTACAGTAGTCCCTCACTACTTCACTGATGGTTTTCTCCAGACTCGCTCGATCGCTATTTTTCAAGGTAAAATTGGACATGACACACAATTGGCTGATTGATGGATGAGCCGCACAATTGGCATGGATTAAAATTTTTTTTTTTAAATAAATTATTTTAAATTATTTAGCACCTGTGTGCAGTCCACAGCTCTGAGAGAAGCTTCCTCCTGCAGCTGATCAGCTGATCTCCGTGCAGAGCCGAGAAGTGGGCGTGGCCAAGAGTGCAGCCGGAGGCAGAGAGCTGATTTCATGACATTCTGTGCTCTTTTAGAGCATTTAGAGTTTAGAAACATTGTTTAGAATACTGCAAGAGTGTGGGAAGGGTTTAAAACACATTTATACACACACATATAGTATATATATATATATATATATATATATATATACATACTAAACTACCACTTACTACTTGTACTACTATTCCTACTTGGTGGTTTTTCACTTATCGCGGGGCTTCAGGGTACAGATCCCCTGCGATAAATGAGGGACTACTGTATATTTTAATCTGAAAAGTGCAGTTACTCACTTTATTAAATGCTCGGTTGCTTTCAGAAAGAAAAGATTCAGTTTTTGTGTCGTTTGACAGTGACGGAGGTGAGTGGTTTGGTGTGTCTTAGTGCAGCCGGGCTGAAGACCTTGAGGAACTAAAATATCCACCTCGGCCTGCTGGGATTCTGCTTTGGTGCATGTGTGATTTCCCACGTGGGACAGCCAGATTTGAATCGGGTCTGTCAGAGCCCTCTGCTCCCTCTTGGTCGTTTCACCTTGACTTCCTATTATTTGCACGTTTAAAAAAAAAAGCTTTGATAGCTGCAGTACCTGCTGTTCGGCCTCCTCTCTGAGACTCTCTGGGATAAAAACTCCTGCTGCTCCCTGGGACTTCTGACCCATTAAACTCCACTCAAGACACCTCAGGTCCTTCTCCTTCAGGCGGATCAGAGCCCGCAGATCTGACATCTCCTCCTGGACAAAGACAGAAATAAACTTTAAAGTAATGCTGGTAAATAGTTCCAAAAAGCGCATCAAGTAGCAACTCTCAGGTTGCAAATCTGTAACTTTTCTCTCTGATTTTAAATGTTTATATTATTTCAGCTACTCTAAAATGAGTTTATGTTACAGTTATTAAAATCAGTGCCAAAATATAGATATATAAATTACACAGAAGCTTTTTATTTTTTGTGGATTTGCATTAAAGCAAATACAAACACCCAGATCCCACCCTGACTGAGATGAGTTCGTAGAAGAGGGAAGCTTTCTCCCTCTTGTTTTCAGGAGGTTTGGCGTTGTCCTTTGGCACATGGCCCCAGCTTGTCCCAACTGTTGGACAAGTCTCTGAGCGTGGTCTGCTCTCTGCTCCCAGATCCGGCTTAGGCAGACAAATGGCTGCTCGCTCCTTCCTCAGGCGCTTAATTTGTTGCCGGAGAGCTACTTCCCGATCCACTGGGTCAGGTGTCCTGTGGGATAACAAGGAAATGAAATGTCTAATAATCTTTTAAAGTACTCCATACTACTTGATTGCGAACTGATAATGATCACCTCTGACTTGTTGGACTTGTGTGACTTTGTGCCTGTGTCGCTTCTATGACTCCTGTTGTGGAGAAGGAGGTGGACAACTCTTCAGTTCCCATTTTCCTGAGCTGAGCTGATGGACTGTCAGCCTGCTGCTTGTCACCGACTGGTTCTAAAAGGTAAAAAATAGACGACTCAAACTGTGTCGTTTGTGTGTGTCAGTCATCTTACACAGCAGTGAAACAGTGAAACACCTGCTGAGTCTGTCTGCAGAGGAGAGCTTTGCTGCCTTTTGGTCTCATAAAGTGACAGCAGTTCACTGTAGGCCTCCTCGCACTCCTCACTGTCGAGCACAAAGGGCAAAATAAAGATGCAAAAAAATACCAGTAGACCAGTGATCCATGAATTGTTTTAAACAGGTCCGCCACACTGACAGAAGTGTGCAGACTCTGGTGCAGACCTGTATCTGAGAAGCAGCTGCAGGGCCGAGCAGTCGGTCTCCAGTCGGTTTAGTTTCAGGCTGATCTGCTCCGACTCGGCCTTCCTTCGCTCCAGAGCTGCGGTCAGACGTTCGTTTCTGGCCTTCAGCCTCTCAATGCATCTGACACAACAGGACAGAGAGAAGTAAAGCAAACAATAAAATTATTAAGTTTTGTTTGAAGCATTAAAAAAACATAACTGCATCTTCAAGCCTTTGGTCTAAAAGTTTGTCATTATTTCTGATGGCGCTTTCATGCAAATCAAATGGACATTGATTCCTCTCACTAAAACAACCTCAGTGACTGAGCTGTCATATTGTTGCTTTTGATAGCAAATAACGTTTGTGCATGCTTAATAGGATTTTTGTTTTTGTGAGAAATTTTCATGAATGTCTTTGCCATTGATTGTGAAGTGGAAAATTTGTCTCTTCACTCCTTTGAGCCTTAAAATCTGCCTTTTCACACAGCTGAGCGCCTGATTTGAGCCTGGACAGATCGTCATTGTGATCCGGTTAATTTCTGATCTTCTTGGACTCACCTGTTCAGTCGCTCTGTTTCAGACTCCAGACCGATGGGGCTGGGACACGGACTGTTTGAGGTGACGGAGCCCAGACACCCGTCCCCGCCCAAAGACAGAGGTTTTACTGCTCGAGACGTCCTTCTGTAGGGTAAAGGTGACCCAGGGTAGGAAGGAGAAGCCCAGTCTGGACTGCGAGCCCCAGAAGGAGGCCTGTAAGAAGGAGACAAGCTGCCAGACCTCCAGACCTTGTGGAGGCCCGTCAGCTGAAAGCATAAAATAAACGGCTCCATTTGTTCTTTGTTAAAACCATAAAGTGTTTTAAATTATTAAAACAAAAAGCTCAAGTCTCCTGCAGGTTTGTCATCTGAACACCCATATTTCCCCCCTTTAAAATAGCTATTTATTTTATTTATCTAATAATTCCACCTTGTTTATCTCCTCTTCTGAAGGACAGACTGAGCCTGGTGTTCTCTGCAACCCTTCCTGCAGAGTGTTTCTGGGAACAGCCTCGGGTTTTTCTGCATCCAACAAGTTGTCCAGGTTCGGGTCCTTTGGCATGCCTGACGGACATGAGATCCCAAAATCCTTCTCCATCTCCTCCAGTATCTACAATTAATAAACAACTTTTAAAAGGTGACTTTGTTTTTCTCAAAATGGTTGAAAAAGCACAGATGGATACCGCAGAGCTCTTTCTGTTTGTGAATTTTAAACAACTTGTACATTATTTTCAAGACAAGAGGCCTATAAGCACATTTGTACAATTCGTTTAATTGTGGGAATGCTGAGTCAGCATTTATAATATTGTTTTCCCATTTATAATTATATTTATTGATCAGTTTTTAAATTTTATTTAAAACATCACCATAAAAACCCACTGAGGTATTCAAAACTTTATTGTCTCTGAAATCAGTTTTAATATACATGCTTTATTTTTTATCTTCTTATGCACCTTTTCGATTTTAGCTAAAAGCTTGCTAATTTGAGCTTTTAGCTACAGTTTTTCTGATTTTATATTTTAGCTACTGTTTATTCAAAATTATCTTTTAGCTCTTGGTTTGATGATTTTAGGTTTTAGCTCCATTTTGCAGCATTTACCTTTTGTTTACAGTTTTGCTAACTTTAGCTTTTAGCTGCTGTTTTGCTGGTCGTTGTTTTAGCTACAGTAGTTTTCAGCTTCTGTTCTGCACATTTTAACTACAGCTGCTGTTGTGCTACGTATAATTGTTGCTACTGTTCTGCTGGTTTTGACTTTATGCTACCATTTAGCTAAATTTAGCTTGCAGTTATTGCTCTGCTGGTGTTAGATTTGAGCTACTGCCTTGTCAATTTTAGCTACTGTTTTGCAAATTAGAACTTTTGATTACTGCTTTGCTAATCTTAGCCTCTTCTGCTAATTTTAGCTTTAACAATTCATTCCTCAACAGATTTTTTTTCGGCTCTATAATTAAACCTTTGAACAACACATCTGTATAATCAAACTTTTGAACAACACAACTGTAATCAAACTTTTGAACAACACATCTGTATAATCAAACCTTTGAACAACACATCTGTTGGGTTACAGTTTATTACCTGAGTGGCTTTAGCCCAGTTTTCCTGAGCTGCTCTCAGGTGCTCTTTGTGTTTGTTCTGGTCAGAGGCTGTGATTGGAGCAGCCCATGTCCTCCTAAAGCTGATGGAGTCTTCCACTGATGATAAAACCTCCTCCAGTTTGGTCCAGACGACACCTCCGCCTCCTAGAGGGTGAGAAGCAGAGGTGCATTTAAATGCACATTCAGCCCAGATGAGTTAGCTTGGCTCAGACAAAGGTGGCTTCACCTTGGTTGGTCAGTGGGTGTTTAGATGTGATGATGGACGCAGCATTCCTGTCTGGGCTGCTCCTGACCAGACGGTGAGACAGAAGGTCTGGAACTAGAGGCCTGGATGGACTTGGTGATCTCAGATCACCTGGTTCACTGGAAAAAATTGGAACAAGCCTCATGCTGAACACAAAACAGATGTTTTTAACTTTGTTAAGAGTGCTGCACTAGCTTCACTCATCTGTTGGTAAATGGGCCTCACCTCGGAGCCTTTAGTGAGCCCATCTTCTTGTTCAGATCAGCGATGAAGCTGAGCAGGAGGCCCACTTCAGCCTCGCACTGTGCAACCTCTGCTGGCGTGGGCTCGAGGTTAATCAGAGGGTCGGAGCCCTCGGGGTCGAAGGTTTCGTAGTTTCCTGGGATCAGCAGCTCCTTTTTAAAAACTGAGCTGGTGTCGAGGCTGTTACATCTGCTCCGTCTGGAGTCCTACAGAGGCACGGAGGTGGATTGTTATGAAGTTCTCACACTGACAGTTCAGCAACATTTATCTGTATTTACAGAGTTTTCTCCCGTTAATGCTGTCTGTTCTGTCCGAGATTTGGTTTACCTCAGTTAACTGGTGCTCACAGGTCACATGAGTCAGCCCTCTCATTTTTTACTTTTGTTTCTCAAGAAATAAACCTTTTAAAATGGCTCTTCAGGCATTCTGAAGCTGTTTCCAAGTTTTTATTTGGCTGAATTCTCACTTATTATTTAATAAGTTTCCAGAGGTACGTTTTTGTTTGTTGCGTCTCTAAACTATGAATCACTGAGGTATGAAAAGCTCCAAATTTAAAAGATAGAACCAGATGAATGTCTACACAAAATACAAAACTTAATTAAAAAATACCTTATCTTAAACTGGATCATAGGTACTTTGTGACCATCAGCTTGTCACTAAGTTGACTTGGAGCCAAAGTCTAGGTCTGATTTAAATATCTGAGCAATTTATGTATTTTTAGGATTTTAGTAGCCCAAATTAAAATGTCTGCCATGAACCAGACATCAAGCTGTTTAGCAGCTATTGTTTTAAGAGACGGAAAAGGAGGAAACCAAAAACATCCTGAGATCCAACTTCCTGCCAGGCAAATATTTGTGGATCATACCATCTATTGTTTTTCATAAAGAATTCTGGATCCATGCTTAAAAAGAAATAAAGAAACATTAAATCAAATCACTTCAATATAGCCCAAGATTCAACATGAACACATTTTAATAGGTTAAAATTTGGCATATTTGTGCAGCACAGCGCAAACAACATGCTTTAAATTCCTTGTTTCTGTTGGAGAATCTGCAGCTGGATTCACAATTGTTCGGTCAGGCTACTGGTCATAGTCACAATTTCTAGCAGTTTAGGGTCTCACACAAATATAAACTTGGGGTGAGTGACCAAATAATTTGTTTTTTCAACTTAAACAAAATTGATTCTGGTCAGAGATGTTAAAAGTTTAGTAGAAAGTGCAGCATCTCTATAGATCAAGTTGTAACAATATGTATCTATTTTTTTTATTACCAAGCATTTAACAACAAAAGTTTTATTTTACATCATTAACCTTAGATCATCTTTAAAGCAATACAAGCGCTCAATAAAAAACACCATCATAATTTACCTCCATACTTGTTCTTGCAGAAGCAACTGTTGGGATTTGTTTGCTCGGTCCTGCTGTGTTGTGTAGTTAGGCTTTCCAGCAGTCAGTCGGTGAGCGGCTGCACAAAACTGCTCTCTGTGACTGCCTAATACTGTTTGGGTGATGAATGAAGTAAGTGGAAAACACTCAGGAACACATCTCCACCCATTCCCCTTCACTTTGTGTCCTTTCCTGTTTTGTCCCCAGTTAGTCTGAATACACACCACGACCGTCAGCGTCATCTCTGTAAAGGAATTTAACAATGTTTAAAACTTACTTTCTATGATTGACTTTGCTGTAACTTTGTGATTATGAGAGTTCTATTCATGATAACCAGGCTTAAATATTTAAAATATGTTTTTAAAATTATGTAAATAGGTGATCAGCAGTAAAAAAAAAAAAAGTCCAAAACAAACATTTACCCCAGTAAATTCTTAACGAATGTACAGTAATGTAAATATTATTTTTCATAAAAGAAATGTGTTTCAAGTACAGTATATAATTATTATAAACTTAAAATGTTACCACATTTGTTTAAATGATGTTTACACATTTTTTGCATATTGCATATAGACCTGTTGCATATACAGACACATTTATTGTGCACAGAAAAAAAACAAACGTCAAATAAATTAAACGGGCAATGTTTTGTTTTTGCGTTTTTACTCTTATTTATGACATTTAAATATTTGAAACTGTGTTAAAATGTATCTATATAAGAAGGTTGATGGAATATATTATTTGGAGAAGCAGAAAAGGCTTTGTAAAAACCTCAAATGGAATTTTACACAACACAATGAGACTTCCCTTTCAAGTCGATCCATATTTTTTCATGTTTGATAGTTTTACATTCTAAATACACATTAGTGATAGCAAAAAAAAACCTTAATAAGATTATGCTTAAATTGCGCGATTTTCCCCTTTTTAAAATAAAATAATTAATTGATTATTTAATTACATTTAATAATGAGGAGGAAGTTAATTTTCCTACATATTGCCAGCACATTTAAGGATTTTAATATATTTGTGACTAAAATGACCTCGGCAGAAAAAGAATCAATGAAAAATAGGTTCAAAATCAGAGTTATGAAATTATAGAACGAAAACCTCATTACCCATAATGCTAAGAGGCCGGGTGGTTCTAGTTTTTGTCATTTCCGGTAAGGAAGTTGCCTGTTCAAAACAAAAGTTAGCTTCTCGTTTAAATATTTTGCAGCCTTGAATGAGACTTTAGGGTTTATAAATCTCAGAAGCCTCGTAATAATTAATCATGTAAGTGTATTTTTTTATTTCAAACGTATCACATTTATATTTCACTTTGTGTTTGAATTTTCGTACTTTGTTTCCTGAAAGCTAGCTAATGCTAACAGCTAACGCTATCCAGTGTTCGAGCTGTTTTTAAGCCACTCAAGATAATTTGTCAGGATTTTTTTTATTCCCAAAACAAAGACGGCTGATGGTTTTATTGTTACAGTTTACACTTGAGTTGACATTGCTGTAAATCCGTCTTTAAATGTTAATGTTTTAATTTGTCGAAATTTTATTTTGCTGAGAAGATGCATCACTGATTATAATGAAAATTAGATACCATACCATACCATACCAATTTATTTATATAGCACTTAAAACAGCAACAAGGCCAACCAAAGTGCTGTACAAAAGAAACACAAACATGATGAACATTCACAAGTATGGGTATTATAAGGACTGAATTTCCCTTCTTTCAAACTATTTCTCATTGGGCATAAATTAATAAACTAAATATGAATTAAATATAATTTTGTTTTATTATACAGTTCAGGTTCACCAATCCAAGTTTAAATTTAAATGACCTTTTTGCACAAATATTACAATTGCGATTCATTGACCACAAAAAAAAATACAAATAATATTTTCAATGCAGGACAGTCTTGTCCAGATTTGAGACCTTTTCACTAAAGTAGATTTAATGTCCAGATACCAACTTCAGTGTGAAATAGACCTTTACCCAATCAGAATCTGGGAATTATTTGCCACCTTTACTGTTGTGACTGAATTAAAATTTTTAAGGTTTAGAATGTTTATAAATTTATTTTCAATATGTTTAGAATAAAATATTAGTTGTCTTAATATCTGTTTGTCAAGTTTGGGGGCAAGGCCAGACTTGATGTTCCCATAATCCAAACTCAACTTCTTACCTTTGTTTTTCAGCATCCTGTGCATCCATGGAGACACCAGAACCAGGCCCAGCTGATGGAGAGGAGCGTCCAGTAGAGCTACGACCTCGGACCCGCTCCAACCCCGAAGGTGCTGAGGACCGTCGCAGCAGCACAGGCAGCCTCGGAGGCAACAGTAACCAAAACATTTCTCAGCCTGCTGTGGGCAGTCGTGTGGAGGGGGAGGGCGAGGCTTCAACCAGTGACAGTCCTCCAAGCTCCATCACCTCTACAGTGTCAGTGTCTGCAGCTAAGGCTGTAGCTCCTGCTGTGGTTCCTGCTGCTGCTGGTTCAGGAGCTGCAGCCAGCACCACAGTGCAAATATCTGCTGCTGCGTCGGTTAAAGAAAGGCCAAAATCCACACAGTCCACGCTCACATCATCCGTCCCCCCACCAGCAGAGTACCAGATCAAAGTGCCCCGTGTCAACTGCCCTGAGAAAGTGGTGTGGCCACCTTTATAATAAAAAATATATATATTTCTAAACATTGACTTTCTTTGTGTCACTTAAATTCTTTGACCATCTTTTTTGACAGATTATCTGCTTAGATCTTTCTGAAGAAATGTCCTTACCAAAGTTGGAGTCTTTTAACGGGTATGTAACCTCATAGTAGTCCTCCGTTTTTCAAAGAAATTGTTTTTATACATAAATGTTGTTTAATTTCTCTGTGTTTCCATTTAGCTCTAAAACAAATGCTCTTAACATATCCCAGAAGATGATTGAAATGTTTGTGAGAACAAAGCACAAGATTGACAAACGGCATGAGTTTGCTTTGGTTATCATCAATGATGATGCATTGTGGGTAAGTGCAAACGCCTTTTATTTACTGATACGTCTTTGGATTATGGGACAATTTTATTTGGAGATCACTCTCATTTTACTCTTAATTTCAGTATATTAAAAACAAAACCTATTCAATTTATGTTTATATTGTTTTCTGTTTAAAACCAAATGTAAATTATTTCAGCTTTCAGGTTTCACTTCAGACCCCAGGGAGCTGTGCAGCTGTCTATATGACCTGGAAACCAATGTGTGCGAGTCTTTTAGTATCCTTTAAACAAAAAAACAACAACAATTGGGCTTTTATTGTCACTATACAATCTATAAATGTTCAGTTTTAAACTTAACCTCTTACGCTAGACCTGGAAGACCTCCTTAATGTGATGTAGGTGTCTTTTTGTTTATAAAACTTTCCAACATACCTGTTACATGCTGTTAGCATAACAAAAAAACACAAACAAGACAGATTTAAATGTAATCTTTTTTGTGCCTCTGTAGTCGTCAGAAGATTGAGCTGCCGTTAATGGAGAATGTTCAGACCGTCCCTCCTCCCTATGTGGTGCGCACAGTGCTCATCTACAGCCGCCATGCTGGACCTCTGCAGTTCAACCCCTCTGAGGCTGTTGGCGTGAGTATAACACTGCCGAGTGACCTGCTGTCTGTCTGGGTTGTAGTTTACACATTCTCTTCCATATTAGACTGAATTTCCTCTCTGAATCTCCTACACTGCTGTGAAACGAAACTCAATTTCATTCAGTTCTGCATGGTGCACCATACAATTTTGAATGACAAAGTTTATATTTATTATTTAGTTTATTATTCAAAGGCTGTTTTCTTTAGGATTTGTGTAGCTCTCACAGGAATAGTCTTAATGTTTGTGTCTTGCTACAGAAAATGCTGCAGTCTCCCTATTTTTTCTTCGATGTGATTTATTTACATAATGGGATGGAGGAGCACGGAGAAGAAACCAGCTGGAGGGTGAGTAGAGAAGATGTTGATTGACTGACGATGATAAAATGTAGTTGTTTTAGTGTTTTACACGTTTGGTGTTGATTCCCACATTTGCCTGGTTTAAAACGAGTAACACCTGGTTGTGTTTGACAGTTTCTCTCACTCATAAAACATTTATTTTTCATTTTCAGGACAACTACTCTTCTTTCTGTAACTTGGACTTAAAGGCCATGTGTTATCGCTTTGAGGTCTCACTGAGCGGACCCGCCATCGAGCTGCACAACTGCATGGCCAAACTGTTGGCTCATCCTTTACAGAGACCTTTCCAGAGTCATGCATCGTACAGCCTGCTGGAGGGGGACGACCCCGAGGACGCAGTAGCAATGGTTTAAAAGGACTGGAATAAGGATTGAATAAACGGTCTATTCTCTGTGAAATCAACACACACTGTAGTTTTACTGACATACAGCACACATTTTAACTTTTTTTGTTTCTCTATTTGCCGGTATAAGCCATGAGAATTTTTGGGAAGGGCGACACGATGACTCGGTAGAGCTGTTGCTTCTCAGGACGAAGGTCGCCAGTTCAAATCCCGGTCTGGGGGCCTTTCTGGGTGAAGTTTGCATGTTCTCTCTGTGCATGCGTGGGTTTTCCCCAGGTACTCCGGTTTCCTCCCGCAGACTAAAAACATGCATGTTAGGCTGATTGGTAACTCTAAATTGTCTCTAGGTGAGTGAGAGTGAATGGTTGTCTCTTTGTGTCCCTGTGATGGACTGGAGACCTGTCCATGGTGTCCCCCGCCTCTCGCACAGTGACTGCTGGATATGGGCACCAGTAAGGAAGAAATGGGTAAACATAATGGATGGATGAATTTTTGGGAAACCCAAATCTGGAAATAAAAAAGTAAACTTCAATGACTCACTTATTGATGGGAAAGAAAAATAATGACTCAGCTGTTTTCAGCATTTTCTGTAGCAAGACACAAAAATTAAGACTCTTCTGTGAGAGCTACACAAAGCTGCAAAAACACTTTTGATATTGATGAAAAATTAGTCTATTGTCTCTACGCCTTAAAGGAAATCAACCGAACATCTCACTTGCATTGTAGTTTCACAACAGACCTTTTGACAAAGTTATGATTTTTATTTTAACGTACTGTGTCTCCAAGATAATGATTTTTATCTTTTACTGTTCAGTTGGAAATGTTCTTGACTCCTGTTTGGATGTATTTTCCATTAGATGAAAGGTTGTTTGTACTTGAGTTTTTTTCATGGCTGTATTTTCCGTGTTGCTTTTGATCGTCATTAAGCTGCAAGTCTATCTGCACCTGTACAGACGAGCTGTAAAGAAGAAAGTCGTTTCTAATTATTAAAAATCCATGTTTATCCATATTTATTTCTCATCTTCATACAGTTTCTATAGAATGATGCGCTTTGAGCGTTTGTCAGCAGATGGCAGCAAATTCCCTTTTAGACTTAAACTCAACTGAACTCAAGATTTTGTCTTAGGAGCAGTTTTACATTTTCAAGCCCAAAAGCTGTAATTTGGAAATTTAATAATATCTTAACTTATTTAGCTCCAAACTATAGTTTGCTGATCTTTTCTGGTTCATATTAATCCGTTATCAAATATCCATAACCCCAATGAAACAACTGTCGCATCAAAAATTATGAATTGGATTTCTTATCCACCAATAATACTCCAGTGGCAGAGATATCTCTTCCTGTTTGGTTGGTTATCTTAAGAAGTGTCTGTCTTCAACCGTTTCTTTTCCTGCTTTTGTTCAGATGGTACCCAGCATCTCTCCAGTCTCTGACACCACATCATGCCTCTATAAATGAGCTTTTTTTTCCATTGGAGAGAGGTTGTCAGGGAGACAATGGCGAGCAGGAAAACCTCAGGATCAGAGAACCTTTACCCTTTAACACCCTTCCCTGCAGGCCTGACTGTGCCTCACGTCATCAACACCAAAAGTGGAGGAGGAGGAGGAGGTGAGGGGGACCCAGTGCGTCTGGAGGGAGCGTTTGTTATCCTCATCTCTGAAGACTGACAGGTACCTATTGTTTCTGTCCTCTCAGTCCTCCACTGCTGTGACTCCTTTCCCTTACCTTTGACAGGATGTGGTGGAATTTGTTTTATTTTTTTGTTTGGTATTTTCTGCTTTTCTCCTCAACTTGTTTGACGTTGTTCAGGAACACCATCAGGAATTCTGTGGTTGCTATTTTTACACGTGGCACAATTTGTATTGCTTCTTGCTTTTATTTTTAATAGTTTACACCACATGAATAGAAAATAAACATTTGCCTTAAATGTCACCGATAGTTTAATTTTATTTATAGTAACGTAAAGAAGCATAAGGCATCTTTGCAGGGCAAGTTTCTTAGAAACAATTTATAATCTTACATTTTCTATAAGAGACGGAACGGACTCTTTGAGAACTCTGCTGCTGAAAACATCCTGAATGTGGTTTGAGATTGTGTTGCTGGATTAAGATCTTCCCATAAAATACTTTGCATATTAAATGTTGCTCAACAAGTTAGGATTTTTCCAGATGTGCATGTTAATGTGCCCACACCACACACATTTCCTCCTTTAGTGTAGCCACTTCATCATCAACTTGTTTTTTTTATGCGTGTGTTGGGATACTGTGGTATTTATTCTACTATCCCATCTTTTCATTCAATAACTTGAGGAAATGTAAAACTTTTCTTTATTTAGGTTGAGTCTTTTTATTAAGGGGTGGTGATCTCCCCTAAGGTTGAGGAGCTTTAAGTGTAGAACCACTAGACTGAGGAACAGCTTCTACCCTGAAGGTGTAGACTCATGGATCTCTAACCAGAATAATCACTGTGATAAATCACATAATGTTGCTGCTGATCTGTTTCATGTTGCTGCTGATCTGTTTCATGTTGCTGTGTTCATGCGTGTTCATCTGCTCACACAGACTCATGTTTGTGCTGCTGTTCGGCGTAATATTTTTATGCTATTAGAGTTTAGCATATTTCTAGTTTAACATTTTTCTTAGTTCATATCTTAGAAATTATTACTGTTTTTCTTTTACAGTTTATACTTTTGTTGGATGTTACTGAGACCCTGTACACAATTTCGTTCCACCACATGTGCCACGTGGTGCGTATGACAAATAAAGAACCTTGAATCCTTGATGGTGGCTCTTTATGGGCAGTTTTTGATTGACAAGTTTATTTTGAACTTTTAGGATATATGAAAAGGAAAAATGTGTACAGTATATATATTCATTCGTGTCAGACACGTTCCTGTTTTTAGTACTCTACACCGCCTTAAAACCTTTTTTTTTTGTTGCTATTTTTCCTTTTAATTATTCTTTTAATTACCATTTTATTTTCACTTGTTAAAAAATTAATTAATTTGTACGCATCCTTTATGTTTGTCTATTGTTGTCGTCGTCCACATCACTCTTCGCTAAATATTCAGGTCTCTCTTGTAAATGAGACCCCGAGGCTCAGTGGGATTAACCTGTATAAATAAAGGTTGAATGAGAAAAAAACAACCAGTAACACAAATAATAAATAATATTTTAATAATTGTAATTTAGTGTCCAGTTTATTAGAAAGAGTAATTAATTTAATTGATCCTACCCATTGTCTTCTAATTCAAAATATTTACTCAATAGCTGTATTTGGCTGTATGTAAAATAATAATAATAATAATAAAAAAAAATATATATATATATATGTACACACATACATGTATCTGCTTATACACACAAATCCTTTTGTTTGTCTTCATTTAGTGTGTATTTAGTTTCTTTTTATACTTTATATTTTGCTATTTTGGGGTGTAACTGAGACCCTGAGTACATAATTTCGTTCCACCTCATGTACCACATGGGATGGAAATGACAATAGAATTGACTTGAACTTGATCCTGTACATATCTGCATAAACATGCAGCACATGTCCATTTTCACATGCACTAACAAACAATGAATATTTACCTAATATTCAGCTTGCAGGTATTCATCCACAATTTTTTAAATGGAAAATTTTAATTCCTAAAACCTGCAGATTTTTGCTTCATCCTCATTCCTTCCTAAATAAACCACAGCTCAGAGAATTTGATCCTGAATGAGTGTTTTTAATGGTGTGCATGAGATGTCTGTGATGATCTATCTGAACTGTAAGCAGGTTTTTAAAGGTGTGTAAAATCAATGTGTGTGTGGTTATTATTTTTTCTTTTCCAGTGTGGACCCGAGAGCCTGAACCCTTTATGTTAAAACACCTTCAGAAACTAAAACTTTTTGAAGCTACTGATGTACAGATGATAAAACAGAAATATGATACGACAATTTGCAAACAATGTTTTGTTACATTTTAAATCATGAGCATATAGGTTTACATTTCCTAAGGCATGGGTTGTTGTCGCTGTCATTATTAGTTATCTATTTTTTATTTTAAAGCACATCCCAGCTGTTTTTCCTGTATTAAATGGTTTAAGTTAAAACTCAAACAGTAACCATCCCAGAGTGTGATCAAACTTGAACATTTGTTCTGGATTCAAACTAAACCAGCAAGTAAGACTAGACTTAATGGCTAATTTAGTCTAAATTCTTTCTGAACTGTGTTTTTTTCCAAACAAATGAGTGGAAATTTTTGTGAGTGCTGCAGCTGGAGGCTGCGCTCTGGCAGAGGTCAGTCAGGAAGCAGGGGAGGGCCCAAACGGACCGGACGTCTGCCCGCAGCACCTTTTATAAACACACACACACACACGCACCTTCGGGTCAGCGTTAACGCACATCGATGCATCCCGCCCGTGTCTGCATCCTCACAGAGCCGCAGAGGACAAACAGAGGCCTGATGGTTAAACTCCTCAATCTGACTTCTGTCGTCTCATCCTGACAGTCATCCTCGGCAGAAAAGATCGCATCAGAGGGAAGAAGCTCGTGGATTGTTTTGCAGCCACGTTATTTCTGTTTAGTTCATCAAAACCAAACTGCAACCATTTCACCTCCGCCCGTCATGTACAGCTCCAGCTACTCCCGGGCCAAGTTGGGCCTGGAGTCGAGGGAGAAGCTGCACAAGTCAAAGGGGAAGAGCTGCGGCTATTACATGAAGATCTTTTTATTCTTTTCATCCCTCATCCAGTCGCTCATCATCGTCAGCCTGGTGCTCTTCCTCATCTATGGCCAGCCGGAGAAGACTGCGGAGGAGCAAAGGGTCAAGGTCAGTGACGAAGCATCTTCAAGAAAATGTGTTCAAGACGACAGTTCTGCTCTACCTCCAATGATGTTGTAAAGAAAAGACATAAATTTACTGAACTTATTGCAGATTTTTAATTGGGTGTAGATGCCTATGATGCCTTACTGTCACGCTCCGTGTGTTGTGTAGGAGCTTGAGCTCGGCTTGCAAAAGCTGAGTAACCACAGCGTGGACCTGAAAAAGGAGAAGGGCGAGCTCAAAGCTCAGCTGGCAGCTCGGACGGCAGAAAAAACGGCTCTGGAGAAAGCGATGCTGAAGCTGAAAACTGATGCCAACAACACAGAAATGGAGCTGAGGAGAAAAATAGTAAGGATCACCTTTTTTGCACCTAAATTCTCTTTACAGCAAGACTTTAAATGAATAATTTTATGATCCGCAGTAAGATTAGTTTCTTTTCCATGGGTTTTTAGTTAGCTTCCCCAATGGGTACCATAAAAAAATCTAGATCATTTATTATTCTTTTATTTATTATTATACTTTTGTTATTTTTATTTGACTAGGCTTCCAGTGAAAAAGCACATGCTTCGGCAATTAGCGTGATGTCACGACGCCCCTCCCCTCCAATCCAGCCCTCCATTGTCACATCTAACAGTAAGTTTGGTTGTTTTAATTACTGCTCAAAGGCTAAAGGACAATAATGGTTTTCTTTCGGCTGCTCCCTGCGTTAGGGGTCGCCACAGCGAACTAAGCTGCACGAAGACTTGGCAGTTATTTTTACGCCGGATGTCCCTCCTGATGCAACCACAGACACCGAGCTACCACAGCTCTCTGAGTGGAGCAGAGAGCCGCTATCTAGGACACCCGGAGGAGCAGATGGTGCGGGTTAAGGGCCTTGCTCAAGGGCCCAGGGTGGGGTGAATGAGGGTGGGGGCAGGTGTGGGTGCTTTGCCTACCCCACCCACATTTTTGATGTTGTCTGTACCGGGGCTTGAACCGGCGATCTTCCGATCACAGGCCCACCTTCTCTAACCTCTGCGCCACCACTCCCCTAAAGGACGATAATGTATTTGCCCATATCTGTGTGTTTGTCTACAGTGTTAGCAAAATATCTCACAAACCACTGGACTGGTCAGTTTTACAGATATTGAGCTAAAATTTGACGTGGTAGTATCTGAGAGTTATTCTCAACACATATTACGAGCACCATATCTCAAGACCTGTTTAGCACGAGGAAAGATACAGGCGTTAATACTTGTGTTGGTTTGTGTTCTCTGACTCCTCCAGGTGAATTAAAGGCTTTGCAGAGTCTCAACAATCAGCAGAAAGCTTTCATCGATCTCCTTCATTCAAACTTCACTCAGACGGTCCACTACCTGAGCCATGAGAGAGACACCGCCCTGAAAGACCGAGACGTTTACCTGGGGGAGGCCATCAAGCTGCGCAAAGAGAGCAGCCTCCTGAAGGAGCAGCTCACCACCTACACCAGGTGCGTTACATCAGTCCATATCGGATGGGAGACAGGAAATGTTCAGATGCTTCTCACTTTAGCTCCGTCTTTTATTCTTGTAATCAGGAAGTGCAAAGATGACTTTGCTAACTCTCTGAACGGGATCCAGACGGTGACAGAAAAGTTCCTGAACAAGATCAACAACGTGTTCCCTCACCACCTGACCTTTCACCTCACCTGTGGCAGCCAGGAAGTGCAGCTGGAGAAGATAAAAAGCAGCTGCACAAACCTCTCCAGAGACATAGAGAACAAGTTCCAGCTGTATCTGGACAACGTGGGCAACAAGGTGTGTGGATGTTCTCATCAAAACCCTGAACTGCATGAAATGCATTATTTTTTTTACCCCAATAGGGAAAATGCTCTTTTAACTATTGTAGATTGAGGCTGGGGTGATGTAAAGCATTTTTGAGCAGTTTAGTGTAAGGACTTGAGAAGTTAAACGGATTTGCAAAGTATTTTATTACACTTTTAAATGTAAAATGTCAAAAAAGAAAGCCTCAAAGGAAAAATGTACAGTAATTTTCCCTTAAAAATAAGTGAGTAGAAGTATAAATTCACTACATTTGTCACAGGTAATAACTGCTAAACAAACACTTTGCAAGTAAAACTTTCCTTCAGGATATTCTCATCCCCAGATAATGTATATCCCAACAAACTATCTAAAAAGGAAACTGGTTTCTAATGGGTGGAAGTTGACTCACGACATTATTCCTAATAAATCTGGCTAAAGAGACACGTCCTGTGAGGATAAATCCGGGTCAAGACAGAGGTGAAGCGGTCAGCTCTGCTGATGAGGCAGCACCGTGCCTGACTAAAAACACATATCTTGAACTTTTTTCTCTTTACAGCAACTTCTCTAATGTTTATTAGCCTCCATGACAGGTCAACAATCACTAGTTTTGCTGCTGTAATTTACTCTCTGATGTTAAACTTAAAATATGACTTGAAAAAGGTAAATGAATGAAACTAATCAGATGAAATAACCTTAACTTTATATCACTATTTCTAATAAACATTAAGATGATTAATGTTAAGAGGATGCTGTTTCCTAAAAGGGTAAAGATTAGCTGATGTCAAAAAGTCACAGAATGCTAAATGTCTATTTGCAAACAATTAACAGGTTCTTATGAGTTTATATTGCTATTATTAACTGATTTTTTTATGTATGTGTATGTTTCTGTGCAGTGCCCTGAGCGATGTCTGTTGTGAACTGGAGCTATATAAATAAACTGAATTGAATTGAATTAAATGAACAAGCAGTTTACTGTTACAACCTTACGTTTGCTGTTTTTTTTTTTGTTTTGTTTTCAGGGAGTAAATTTTAATATACCGGACAGAAGAACAAAGTGTTTTTCATTTTACAACATAAATTTAAATTCAATTCAAAAATACTTTATCAATCCCAAAAGGAAATCAAATGTTGTTGTAACTCATTATCCTCGTTTCATTAAGAGTTGTTATAGATACTGATGGCTGTAGGCAGGAAGGCTCTCTTGTAAAGGTCCGTCTTACAGTGAATCCGAAGGAACTGGCTACAGACGCCATCCGATCCGTCCACCTAGACTCAGCTGGCCTCTCAGTTCTTCTGGGCAGAAGGACCACTCAAATGTTGGGCAGAACTCCTGCCAGCAGCCTGCCGAGCTCCTCGTCGCTGAGGACAGACAGGTGCAGGTGTCAGGGGACGATCATGTCCTTCTGATGTCACGAGCCGTGTTTCCTGCCAGCTCCAGGATCTCAGTGGTCCGGAACTTCAGCACAGCCAGCAAGTAGACGGGAATGCATCTACGGTGCCTCCTTTTCAACTCATTTGAGATTTGGGGCTGTAGCTGAGATATTATTTGAGCTTTTGAGGTGTTGATCAGCTGTTCCGGTTGTAAACAAGCAAACAAACAAAAACACACCTAGTTGTTTTGGTTACATATCATACAAATGTCCAAAAACTAAAAAAGTTTCAGTAAAAATTCTTCCAGCTGCACAGCATCCGACACCAGAGGAAACAATCATCCAAAAAAAATAGGATTTACATCCAGAAAAAGATGAATTAAAGTTTCCAAAAGCAAAACTTATTAAATTGGTAAAAAAATAAATAATTATAACAACCCTTGAGGTCTCAGCATCTTCTTCTGTGGCTGGAAAACAAACATCCACATTGTTGCCATTTACAAATTGAGGATAAAGCAATATCATGCCTGCTTCTTTCTTTAGATCCAATAGAAAGACAGAGTTTATTTCTAATTCATAAAAAACTTCCAGTTACAGCTTTTAATGGAAACTCCCTTTTCTCTTCCAGGTATCTGAGATCCAGTCCCTGTCCAGTCATCTGGAGGTGCAGACCAAACATTTGGCCTCCGACCTGCAGCAGTGTGAACACAAACACAGTGAGGCGGTTGCCAAGGCTGCCGTGGACTTGGAGCTCAAACAAAAAGCTCACGATGACCAAGTAGGTCTCATTTTAGGGCCAAATCGTGGGTGGAAATTAAATAAATAAATGAAGCTCTTTCTGCACTAACTGGTTATAAAGATGTGATATGAGTTTTTGATGTATTTGTTATATAGTTTGTTACATAATATTTATTTTGTTAGGTGGAGAAATTGCTGATTGAGCAGAACCGACTGAGAGAGCAGAGGAAACTTCAGGATGACAAACTCGCCCTTAAGGACAAAGAGCTTCAGACGCTGCAGGGAATGCTGCCCAACACTAAGGTAAAGCACCTCCAGAGCCAGTCAGTGATTTTAAAAGGTTCATGCTTCAAAATTTATCTGGAGCGGTTCTGTGTGATCTGGAGGGGCAGAGACGGCTGCTGCAGCAGGAAGTGCAGAGATGCAGGATAATAAAGTAAAACAGGTTTTACAGGGAGCCATAAACTCAAGCTGGGGCAGCGAAAGTCAGGAAGATCTGCATAAATGTGGGATATTAAACAGTGGAATCATTTCAATTGTCTTCAACTAATACAAAACGCTGCAACCTGTTATTACTTTCCACTCCCAGAGCTCGACTGGTGACAGAAGGAGGGAGGGCGTTTATGGTCAGGGCTCCTAATTTGTGGAATTGCTCTTCCTCTAAATATTAGACAGACCTCTTCATTGTCTTCTTTTAAATCATTAGTTAAAACATACTTGTATAATAAGGCTTTTAATATCTGAATTTCTTCGTATTTTAATTTTATATTGTTCTATATTTTAAATCGATTTGGTATACTTTTTGTGTTTGTGGTGTCACTTATGGTGTTGTTTTTATTGATTAATGTGAAGCACTTTGTAACATTTGTTTTAAAAAGTGCTATACAAATAAATTATTATTATTATTATTTGGTTGACAGGCTGGCCCTTCAAGTGCCGGTTCCCAGCAGACGGCGCCGCAGCAGGTCCGGCAGCCTGCAGCTAACTGGTCCTTGGGTAGCACAACTGGCATCAACAAAACTCCAACAGTAAGATTTCTGGATATGCACATTGTACTAATTTTTATAGCCGATTATTAGAGCCGATTTCATCGAAGTTCACTTTGTTGAAATCATAACCTAAACACCATGTGAGGCTGCACTAAAGAAAGGCTAAATAATCAGTTAATATTTTAATGAATCAGAAATCATTAACAGGTCTTATGATAAAAACAAACTTTTACCTCATGTTGGTGTCAAAAAAATTCAAAAGGCATTTACTGCAAATATAACAATTACAGTTTAAATAGCTGTAGAAATGTTTGTATATGAGCCAACTTGTTTATTCATCTGTCAAAAGTGTAAAAAGCATTAATTCTAGTAACACTTTTCTTGTGATAATGATTAATTCTTTGTCTTTCAGGTGGGATGAATCCAACTCATCCCCTCCTGTAATTGTGGACCAGGAGTGAATGAACTCCAGCCGTCACTGTGAGCAACATTTTTACTGGACGTGCAAATAAACCCACTTGGACACAAGCTGTACATGCAGCTGCAAGACCTAAAACAACTGTTTCTCTGATCTAATATGGATTTTTCAAAGTCTCAGTAGCTTTAAGACCAGATGGATGTAAAAGTTTCAGTGACACAAGTGTAAATATTTCATTTTATGTGTCTCTCGCTGCAGTTTCTATAGTGAAGAAAATCATTTAAAACAGTGTAATAATGTTATCAGCCTTTTTTGTCTTTCTGATAATAAAAAATAATATAAGATAAATATATGTAAGATGGAAATTCAAGCTGCAGCCGCTCACTAAAATGCTTTTAAAATAGCTGCACTTCAGTTTTCTGATGATTCATATTTTCTGATGCCGACACGCATCTAAACATGAACACGTCGTTACATCTGCAGAGCTGCTCTTAACACAGCAGGTCAAAGTGTTGATGAGCTGACGGGTCAACACTGGTCACTACCATCTTTATGGCACTTTTTTACAGTTTTAGTAGCTGTTATAGGAACTGTTCAAACTTTACTGCTTCCTTTTCCTTTCAGAAGCAAAGAGCACAAAACAGTTGTGCAGCTGGTGTCCCTTTTTTATGATTGTTATGGGTTCATTTTGGTACACACTGTGTGAGAAACAAATGCATCTATGTAAGAGGAAGTTTTCCACATCTCAGTTAAAACCACCTCAAAGATCCTTTAATTGTAAATATTGTACTTAATAAAAAAATACAAAAACACGCTGCATTGTTGCAAGTTATTAAGGTAGGAATAAAACAAGCCCATGGCATATTAAAATCATGTGCACGACCAAGAATGCAGTTTAGCGAGTCGTGAACATGAATTCAGGCTGTGATTTTCAAGAACTGGATGTTCTAAATAGAGCTGTCATTTCTAACCCGGGCCCGAATTTGGGTATATGGCAACATGGCTTGTTATATGTTTTGCATTTTTCTACCTGGATTATTGAGCATGCATCAGGATATGGCTTGTTATACTGCACCAGCCACACACGACCATTTCACCGTGAGCTGACCGGCCTTGAAAGAGTAAAATAAAGATGGGACTATACAGCCAGGAAGTGATCCATCGCCCACATGGATGTTCATTCAGTCGCTGCACCAGCAGATGTGCACGGCCGATGACCCTTACAGGTGAGATCCCAAAGCAGACGTGTCAGAGAGAGATTTAATGCGCTTTGACTGTCATGAAAGGCAACTCTAGTTCTACATCATGGCCGCATGGCTTGCTGGGCGTTATGTTGCAAACACTCAAAGTTCAGTAAGACTGCTACAGAGAACCCGTTTCCACAGATTTGAGTCACCAGCAGTCACAGTTAAATCAAAATAAATGAAAATATGAACCATAATACCATCTTTATTTATAAAGCACTTAAAAACAGCAACAAGGCCAAACAAAGGGCTGTACAGCAAAAACAAACGACACAAATGAACAAATGAATGAACAACTAAAATAAAAGATAAAATGTTTCTAAATTCAGTATCAAGGTGACTTTAATGTCATTCACATCACATGTGGTACATGAGGTGGGACAAAATTGTGTACTCAAGGGCACAGTTACACTCAAAAGCAGCAATAATAGAAACTATAAAAAAGAAACAGTATACAAGGATCTAAGATATACGCTAAAAATTAATCATGCAATACTGTATATTAAACAGCAGCCTGAACATGAGTCTGTGGTGAGCAGATGGGTATGAATATAGCAGCTTGTGGGTAAGAATCAGCAGCACAAAGTGCCAAATCTCCAATCAAAGTCATTGCAGTGATTTTTTAACAGTGATTTTCCTGGTTAGGGATTTATGAGTCTATTCATGAGTCTAACAGCTTCAGGGTAGAAGCTGTTCCTCAGCCTAGTGGTAGTGGTACACTTAATGCTCCTCAACCTCCTTCCTGAGGGGAGCGGGGCAAAAAGTGTGTGTGCTGGGTGAGTGGGGTCTTTCATGATGCAGGTGGCCCTCTTCCTGCATCTGGAGGTGTAGATGTCTGTGATGGTGGGGAGACTGACTCCAACAGACTTCTGTGCAGCCTTCACCACTCTCTGCAGAGCTTTTCTTTCTGCAGCTGTGCAGCCTCCATGCCACACGTTGATGCTGGAGCACAGGATGCTCTCCACTGCACACCTGTAGAAGGAGGTGAGGACTGAACTTCCCAGACCAGCTCGTCTCAGCCCCCTGAGGATGTAGTTACCTGCAGATCATGTCACAAAAATCAATTTCCGAGCATGTCCTCCCAGTTTTTGTACTACCAGAAACACTTCAAGGCACTTGCCGGGTTTGTAAGATTTTAAATTTAAACTAATTTGAAATGAATTTATGAAGCGACCAAACATGAAATCTTGTCACCATCTTCCATTCTTAATTACAATTATTAATGGTCATAAAATTAGTTTTATGGTAAAATTATGATCTAATCTTTGACCTTTAAGCTTTAAAAAGATTAACACCTAGTCATTTTATTTAATCAGGTGTTTGATCATTTGTAATTAGGTTTTCTCTTGATTTAAGCCTACAAACCACCTGTTAAATAAGTTTTGTGACTTTTGTCCTCCAAAATCTACAATTAATTTAAAAATAAAGTTTCTGTCAATATTCTTTATGGAGGCTGTCTCAAAGTCCTTAAAGAATGGGCAAGACAGCAAAAATTAAAAATGAAGTTTAGCCTAATACAAGTGAAGAAAAAGCTCCCTGCGCAGAACCACTCATTGATTTACTTTCCTTGTTCATTGAGAAAACAAACAGCTGCACTTCCTGCAGTGATGGATGTGAGCCTAACAGGTGAGTCTGTCTGCTGCCGCTGAGCAGGAAATCCTTTATTTACCATTAGGTGCTTCAGATTCCATGTATAGTCTCAGATGTGGGGAGAGGGTGGAACTGGTCGGTTCCAGCTACGTCAGCATCACATCTCAAGACAACCACTAATCAAAACCCACAGGAAGCTGACAGACAGCCTGAAGCCCTCGCCATCGGCCCGCTGTAAGCCCGACTCTAAAAATACACGAAGGAGAATTCACCTCTGTTCATAAATGTTAATTCAGGTTAATGTCTTTTCTACCAATGAGTATCTTGATTCTTCTAAAAATATTCTATACATCAAAACATTTAAGCCCTAAAAAGAAACACTTCAATCAAATCTTTTTAAAACTACTTATGTATCTCCTGTTTTGCCTTTCTATTGTAAATATGTTCACTTCTGACTTCAGAGAGGTCAACGCTTTAACGACTAAATGTTGAATTTTAACACTTTTAAGATAAGATATAACTTTATTGTCCGCCAAGGTGGAAATTTTCCTTAGGCTGCCCAACCATAAAACAAAACACATTCATACAAAGTATCAACAATTTGTGCATAAAATACTGTAAAACACTTTGCATAGGTAAATGTTATCATTTGGTTTGGTTAAGAATGGTGATTGCACTCGGAATAAATGACGACTTTAGATGTTCTCCGTTGCCAGAGGGACCTTATAACGCTTTCCTTAACTCAGAGGTTCAAAGTGGTGAAAAAGAGGATGGATGCTATTTGCTAAAACATTCCTTGCCATCTTCCGTGTTCTTTCTACAAACATTTGAGACAGAGCTTTTTGTGGCTTCCCCACTATTTTACCTGCCATTGAAACAATTCTTTAAAGTTTGTTTTTTAGTCAACAAAGTCCATGCTCAATAATCCAGGTTTACAATCCAACAATTTTCAGTCAGGTCATCTGGACAGTTTCTTTTTTTTTTGTACTTAAACGTTTCGCCTTCCATCCAGAAGGCTTCATCAGTCAAGGAAACGCACAACACAAAACTGATTCTCCCCCCAACAGCTTGGATTGTAAACCTGGATTAGTGAGCATGGACTTTGTTGGTTTTGACATGACTGTCTACGAGGAAAAGGGCCGGCACCGGAGGAAAATCCTGGTTAGAAGAGAGACCGTCTTAGCACCAACATAACTGGCTTGTTGCACTTTTGGAGTAAGCTGTTGGGGGAAGAATCAGTTTTGTGTTGTGTGTTTCCTTGACTGATGAAGCCTTCTGGATGTAAGGTGAAACATTTCAGCACAAAAAGAAACTGTCCAGATGACCTGACTGAAAATTGTTGGGTTTGTTTTTTAGTCTACAGCTCAGTACAGTAACTGTAACTCAGTACACGTCTGTATGTTGATCTGTTAGTTTTAGCCATCTCCCATACGGCCATAGCTCAGTCATTTTTACAAATACAGAGGTCCAGTTGGGTGTGGTAGTAGCTGAGAGGCATCCTCAACACATACTCCAAGTATGAGATTGAGCATAAAGTTTTTTCCAAGGTTTGACCAAAACGACTCTCTCTCTCTCTCTGTAAGACAAGCTTGGTCTAAGCTGAAGGGCAATGTGCATTTACTTATGTTCAGTGCAGACTTTGTTTTCAAAAACACCATGTTTTGCAAGTTTTTGGTTAATTTTGATTCACTAACTCTTCCTCTAATGCAAACAGGTCAAATATTTCAACTTTCCCTGCTACAAATCTACATCCCACATGGAAAGTTGTCTTGCTTCCTAATTAACTCCCAATGCTTCATTTGTTTTTTCCTGATAACGCAAACGACGGCACGGTGGCACAGTTGGAAGGGCTGCCACCTCTCAGCAAGAAGATCACTGTGTCAAATCCCGACCGGGGGCCATTTTGGGTGGAGTTTGCATGTTCTCTCTATGCATGTGCGGGTTTTATCCTGGTACTATGGTTTCCTCCCACACACCAAAAACATGCATGTTAGTCTGATTGGTGACCCTAATTACCCCTAGGTGTGAGTGAGAGAGTGAATGGTTGTTCGTCTGTGTGTTGTGATGGACGTGCAACTTGTTCAGGGTGTACCCCGCCTCCCAGTGAACCCCGTGACCCGAAAAGGAAGTAGGTAAAGATAATAAATGAAAAACACAAACACTGACAGACAAGAGCAATAAATAAATCTCTGTATAAAA